TTCTTTTTTTTTTTTTGAGACAGGGTTTCTCTGTGTAGTCCTGGCTGTCCTGGAACTCGCTCTGTAGACCAGGCTGGCCTCGAACTCAGAAATCTGCCTGCCTCTGCCTCCCAAGTACTGGGATCAAAGGCGTGCGCCACCACCGCCCAGCTCTTTTGCTTTTCTTAATGATTGTTAATGTGCATGTGTGAGTCTGTACACCTGAGCACATGTTCGCACAGAGTTCAGGAGAGAGCAACAGATTCCCAGGAACTAGAGTTACAGAAAATTGTGAGCTGCCCAGTGCCCCCTGGAAGAGCACCAGTTAAGAGCATCTGTTACTCTTACAGAAGACCCTAGGTTTGGTTGCTAGCATCCTCATGATGGCTCACAGATCTCTGTAACTCCAGTTCCAGGGGATTCTTTTTAAGCTCCATGGACACCAGGCATGATGTGGCACACATATACACATGCAAGAAAACACTGATACATATCAAAGAAGTAAGTCTAAAAAAACCCTCCAAACTAACAAAAAAAAAATGCATTAAAAAAAAAAAAACAGGCAGAGGCAGGCAGATTTTTGAGTTCAAGAGTTCGAGGCTAGCCTGGTCTACAGAGTGAGTTCCAGGACAGCCAGGGCTACTCAGAGAAACCCTGTCTCGAAAAAACAACAACAACAACAAAAAAAAAAACAGGGGGTAAGGGTAGGAGCTGGAGAAGATGGCTCCGTTGTGAGCTGCCGTGTGGGTGCTCAAACAGATCCTGTGTCCTCTTCAAGAGCAACAAGAGCTCTTAACCATGGAGCCATCTCTCTAGTACCTCCTCTTCTGACACAGTGTCTCCTGTAGTGTGTAGCCTAGAGTGGCTTTGAACTCAGGCCCTCCTCCCAAGCTCTACAAAGACAAAAGGGTGGGACTAACCACACTCTGCCGAGACAGCAGTTTGCTAGATGAACTCTGGCTGGCTGGCCTAGTGATCAGCATGTAGCCAAGCTGGCTTGGAATTCATGGCAGTCCCCCTGCCTCACCTTGTGAACGTTGGGATTATATCGTCTCTGGCTGACTCTGATCTCAATTTCCCTTTTCTTCCTCATCCACCCCATTCTGGCCACACTGGCCCTGGTATTCCTTGAATCCTTCTATCATACCTCTATCCCACTCTAGGTTTTCAGCATTTCCCATAATTCTTTTAGGTTCTGCTCAAATGCTTAGAAGCCTTCTGTGACCACCTGTGTGGAATTCCAACACAGCCTCCTTCTCTAGGATTTTTTTTTTTTTTTTGAGGCAGGGTCTCATGGAGCCCGAGCTGGCCTCTAACGCTATAGCTGGTCTTGGCTCAACTTTCTCATGTAACTGTTCTGGCTTGGAAAGTAATGTGAATCTCCTGTTTGTGTCCTCACTGCCTGGATCTTCCCACTGAACTATTGGCTGCAAAGAAACAGTGTGCAAACTGTGCCTCCGTTCAACACCTTCAATCGAGACCCAGAACAACAAGAGCGAGGTGTGGTGGTACACACTTGTAATTCCAGGGCTCTGGAGATAGAGGCAGGAGGATCAGGGGTTCATAGTCACTCTCGGGGGCCAGCAGATGTGAAACTAGCCCGAGCTACATGAAATCTGTTTTCAAAAAACACAAAAATCCCCAGGAACTGGGGTCATTCACGAATGAACTGTAGGGAACCTGTAAGGAACTCAACGTTCTGTTCTTCCTGCATTCCCTGTGTTAGTATTGCCAAGCCGTCTCCAGATAGATTTTTTATTTTTAGGAATTTATTCCTGTCTTTATTCACTGAGCCCACAAGCTATCATGCCTATTTATTTATTTATTTATTTATTTATTTATTTCCCGAGGTTTTCTCTGTTAGCCCTGGCTGTGCTGGGACTCACTCTGTAGACCAGGCTGGCCTCGAACTCACAGATCAGCCTGCCTCTGCCTCTCTAGTGTTGGGATTAAAGGTGTGACCACTACCGCTTGACTCCATGCCTTGTTCTTGCTGGAGTTTTAAGTTTCGGAATTCCAAGAGCTTAACATAGTAGTTCTAACATAGTAGTAGCGATCTGAATTGGTCAAATCTGCCTGGAGGTTCTAAAACTGCACCTTAGCCCTTCTAAGATGGATGTGAGGTACAATTCTAGTGTTTTAAGGAATTGTTTAGGGTTCTAGCAATCCAATATGCTGACAGGTTGGAATTCTAAGATTGTGACATCTTAGAATTCCAAGATACAAGGATGGGATGCAGCTCAGTGGCAGAGCCCCTGGCTAGAATCCCCCAGTGAGGGGCTGGGGGCGTGGCTCAATCGTAGAACCTCTGTCTAGAATCCCTCAGTGAAGGGCGTGGCTCAAATCCCTCAGTGAAGGGCGTGGCTCGGTAGCAGACCCCTGCCTAGAGGACCGGCCTAGCACCTGTGAGGCCCTGGCTTCAATCCAAGCACTTAGTGTGTAAAGGATCATGTACTAGAATTTCAAGATGTGCATGATGTCTTTGCATCCTGAAATTCTAGTTCTCTTCTTTGCTAGAGTCTCAGTTTCTGCTCTCATATTCTGGAATTCTGCATGCTAATGAGGTAACTCCTTCTTTCTCTCTCTTTCTTTCTTTCTTTCTTTCTTTCTTTCTTTCTTTCTTTCTTTCTTTCTTTCTTTCTTTCTTTCTTCCTGTTTGTTTTAGATAATGTTTCTCTGTGTAGCTCTTGCTGTCCTGAAACTTGCTTTGTAGACCAGGCTGGCCTCAAACTAACAGAGATCCCTCTACCTCTGCTCCCAAGTACTGGAATTAAGGTATGCATCACTACTGCCTGGCTAATTATTTCTATCTTAATAGTTTCTTTTCCTGTTGCTTGTGATGAAGTACTCCACAGGCAGATGTGGTGGCACACTTTTTCACCCAGGACACTTGGGAGGTGAATTTCTGTGAGTTTGGGACCGACCATCCTGGTCTACATAAAATACTCTTAAAAGGCTGCTTAAGGGAGAAGGTGTTTATTATATATTACTGTATATTATGTCATTATATGTTATATATAATCTAGAGGATCAATATTATAATAATTATATAATACATACATAATATATTAATATCAATATAATTATATTATATATTACATATTATCTACTATACATTATACAGTATTATATATTATATGATTATATTGATATTACACAATGCATAGTATCATATTATTAATAATATTATCATTAATATATATAAATTAATATTTATGCAATCATACTATATTACTTATATTATTTTCATTTATAGATTTAATTTATATGGTATACATTATATTAATTATAATAATTAGTAATGCTATAAAGTTATTGATAGCTATATTAATAATATTGTATATCATTACTGTTACATATTACTGTATATTATAGTCAGACACATAGTTCCAATATCTGGCCCATCACGGAGGGGAAGTCAAGGCAGTAGGAGCTTGAAGTATCCGATCACATCGAGACCAGTCAAGAAACAGTAGTGATCAATACACGCTGCTGCCCAGATGCTTTTCCCGTTTATTTTTATCTGATCAACTTTTTAGCACCATCTCTCTTCTTTCACCATGTGAGTCTCAGGGATTGAACTCAGGTCATCAGGCTTGGTGGCAAGCCCCTTCACTTACTGAGCCGTTTTGTTGGCCCTCTTTCTTCAGGATCCCAGCCAGCTAATAATCTTTCCCACAATTAGCATGGATCTTCCAACTTCAATTAGCACAATAAGGATAGACCTCTGTGGCGTTCCTAGAGGCTCATCTCATGGTTGACAATAACCACCACAGAATGCTGGTACCCTGGATTGCTGGCACCTACATCACAGTATTGGCGTCTCTAGCATGGAGCCGCTGGACCTGCCTTGCCCAGGACAGCAAGGCTGGAGTTTTCCCATTGACTTTCCTTCCTGTCTGTTCCCTGCAGGTGTCTGGGGCCAGGATGATGAACTACACCACCAGGGAGGATTATGATTATGAGTATGATCAAGAACATTACACTGACCTTCCGGATATCCCCGTAGACTGCCTAGATGGCAACTGCTTCTCTAGTGATGTCTACCTCATAGTCCTGCTTGTGTTGTATGCAGCCGTCTTCCTGGTGGGTGTGCCAGGCAACACCCTGGTGGCGTGGGTGACCTGGAAAGAGTCCCGCCACAGGCTTGGGGCCTCTTGGTTCCTGCACTTGACCATGGCAGACTTGCTTTGCTGTGTTTCTCTGCCCTTCCTGGCTGTGCCCATCGCCCAGAAGGGCCATTGGCCATACGGGACAACAGGCTGCTGGCTGTTGTCCTCCGTCACCGTTCTGTCTATGTATGCCAGTGTACTGCTCCTGACCGGCCTCAGCGGTGACCTCTTCCTACTGGCTTTCAGGCCCTCCTGGAAGGGTGCAGATCAACGAACACTTGGGGTGCGTGTGGTCCAGGCCTCCTCCTGGATGCTGGCCCTGTTGCTGACTGTGCCTTCTGCTGTCTACCGTAGGCTGCTCCAGGAGTACTACCCTACCCGGCTTGTGTGTGGCACAAACTATGGGGGATCGGTCGCCGCCGAGGCTGCCATCACCACGGTTCGATTCCTTTTTGGCTTCCTGGGGCCACTGGTGTTCATGGCCAGTTGCCACGGCATCCTCCAACGGCAGATGGCCCGCCGTCACTGGCCCCTGGGCACAGCTGTCGTGGTGGGGTTTTTCTTTTGCTGGACCCCTTATCACATCCTGCGGGTCATCATCGCAATGGCCCCTCCATACTCCTTGCTCCTTGCCCGGGTCCTGGAGGCGGAGCCTCTGGTTACAGGCCTGGCCCTTGCTCACAGTGCTCTCAATCCCGTGATGTTTTTATATTTTGGAAGAAAACAACTCTGCAAGTCACTCCAGGCTGCATGTCACTGGGCCCTGAGGAATCCACAGGATGAGGAAAGTGCCATGACCAAAGTATCCACCAGCTGTGAAATGGTGTCTGAGATGCCGGTGTAGGCAAGAGGGATTTCCTAGGCCATCTCAGAACTGTGCAGCTTTAGGCACAGCTGGATGCAGGAGCTCAGCGATGGCTTTTATTCTTTGTTCAATAGATATTCATTGTGCACTTGCCTGTGCAAAACCCTGATATAAAGGTGCCAGGGTGACAGTGGCTGGAGCCAATTCCTTCCCTCAGGAGTTAGCACTTTACAGAGGAGGACGTATAGGAAACGTTGAAGGGATATGGACTATGTCAAGGGTGTTGGGGAGAGTGCTCAAGTGCCTGCTGTACAAACCAGGACCTGAGTTCAAGTCCCACCACCTACATAAAAGCTGGGTATGGCCATAAACCTCTAACCCCAGTACTGAGGGAATAGGTGGATCCCAGGGGTTCTCTGGACAAGTGGTATAGGCCAACCAACAAACTCCAGTGAGAGACCCTGTCTCCAGAAATAGAGTGGAATCAGGCATGGTGGTTATAACTTTAATTTCAGCATTTGGGAGGTAGAGCCAGGCAGATCTGTTTTAGGCTATCCTGATCTACATAATGAGATCCAGGTGGAGAGCATGAGCTGAAGATACCCAGCCTTGACCTTAGGGACAGGCACATGCACACATGCACACACCACACACACACACACACACACACACACACACACACACACACACACACACTACACAGGGTTGGACGGCCTAGGTCAGCTAGGCTAGCACCCTGAAAAAAGGGTAAATGACTGAGCCAAAACCCAACTAATGGCGAGAGCATCCATGCTTAAATCTGGGAAACTGTTCCAAGCAGACAGAGCAAATACAAAGGCCTTGCTCTGGGTTACCTCTTCCAAGAAGCCCTCCCTGACTTGCAATCCTCCCAGAAACAAGGGTTCTTCCTTTCCTGTAATCTCTTCATCACAAATGCCCAGATAAATCCTAAGTCACCAAAAAGTGAGAGCTGAATTCCCTCCATCTTTTATATCTCTTATATTTTACATTTAATTATTTACTGCCTGTGTCGAGAAGCATGGAGGGAGGAGGAGGGAACGATGGTTAGAGGACAACTCCTTCCATCACGTGGGTTCTCGGGACCGAACTCAGGGCGTCAGGCTTGGCTGTAAGTACCTTTACCTGCTGAGCCATCTCACGAGCCCCGAACGCCTCAGTCTTGTCTCTTTCTCCCCCCCCCCCACCGTCTTAGAAAGTACTGTACTTTCTCTGTCCACATTCCAGTTTCTTCAGCTTGTTTGTGGGCCTGTTGATGTTGCTGATGCCTTTTTTGTTAATTTATTTTTGAGGATCTTTAAATGATTTTATTTTAAAAAAATTCATACTGGTGTACACTGTACATTGAGCAGCTCTCTCTACCCTTACCCCAGGTTTTCAGAATTTTAACACCTACGGCATACTGTGTCCATCCAACTCTTCCATAGATCCCTAGGGCCTGGCTATGGTCTTGTTTTTATTTTCTTGATTTTTTTTTTGAGATAGGGTCTCATAGAGCCCAGGATGGATTTGAACTCACTATGAATGAGATGACCTTCAGCATCTCCTGAAGGCTGGGATTATAGTCCTGTATCACCACACCTGGTTTATGGGGTGCTGGAGATCAACCCCAGGGCTTCATGCATGCTAGGTAAATGCTTTATCAATTGAGCCACATTTGGAGTTCCTCACCAGGGGATTCTAGGAAATTGTCCTTGTACTGAGCTCCACCCCAAACCCTACTTGAACAATTTATACACCTGTCTGTCTGAAAAGTTCAAGGAATCTTTGGTTAATTTACGGACCAGTAAAGGCCTCTTCAGAAGGCCTTTCTAAAAAGTTCTTTTTGAAAGTACACTTTGAGAATTTCTATTTAATTCTTTAGCCTTAAAAAATGAAGGAGAAATTTCATGAGATCTTCTACATGTATTTCTGTGTAATTATACATAAAATCTCTTCATGTTAAAAATACTGTGTTTTGTTGTTTATCCTAAGCTTTCTCTGGTTCAGACTGCTGTGCAATAAGTTTTCCAAACTGAAACAAAAGACACTCCTTAAAAATCAGGATGTAAACAACTCACAAATCTCAGGATATTCCTGAAACTGACCACATACACCAGGTCCCTTCTTCCCCAAGAGTTCTAGTCTTCTTTATGCTACTGTAATAAAGCACTCTGACCAAAACAATTTAGAGGAGAAAAGAGTTTATTTGGCATACACTTGTACATCATAATCCCTTATTGAGGGAAGTCAGGACAGGAACTTGAATACAGAAACCATGGAGAAGCACTATCTGCATGCTAGCTCTTTGCTCATGCTCAAGTATCTTTCTTATAGACTCCAGGATCACCTGCCTAAGGATGGTGACACCTACAGTGGGCTCATCCCTCTCACATTAATCAAGACAATCTTTCACAGACATGGCCACAGGCCAACCTGATGAAGGCAATTCTTCAATGGAGGTTCCCTTTGCACAGGTGACTCCAGGTTGTGTCAAGTTGGCAGTGAAACTTAACTAAGACACCACGCTTATATAAACAGTGTCTTGGGGTTTTTATTGCTATGAAGGGACACCATGACCACAGCAACTCTTAGAAAGGAAGACATTTTATTTGGTGCTAGCTTACAGTTTCAGAGGTTTAGTCTGTTATTGCCATGGTGGGAAATGTGGCGGCATTCAGGTGGAAATGATGTTAGAGAAGGATCTGTGAGTTCTACATCTTGATCTGCAGGCAGGAGACTATCTCACTGGGTGTGGCTTAAACACATATGAGACCTCAAAGCCTACCTCCCCTGTGAGGAGCACCAACAAGGCCATACCTACCTATGGGCCAAGCATTGAAACATATGAGGGGGCATTCCTATTTAAAAATTCCAGCTGGGCAGTGGTGATGCACCTTTAATCCCAGCACTTGGGAGGCAGAGGCAGGCGGATTTCTGAGTTCGAGGCCAGCCTGGTCTACAGAGTGAGTTCCAGGACAGCCAGGGCTACGCAGAGAAACCCTGTCTCGAAAAACAAACAAACAAACAAACAAACAAAATAAATAAATAAATAAATAAATATTCCAATCCCTGGTCCCCATAAGCTTATAGCAATACCATAATGCTAAAATGTATTCAGTCCAACTTCAAAAATCTCCATAGTCTTTAAGAGTCCAAAAACTTGTTTAAAAGTCAAAATTTTAAAGTCTATTCTTTGAACTCTCTTAACTGTAATCTTCTGGAAAGTCAAAGTTAAAAACAGATCACATACTTCTAATATATAATGGCATAGAATATACATTACCATTCCAAAACACAAGGAAGGGAGCATAGTGAGGAAATACTGGACCAAAGAAAGACCGAAAACCAACAGGGCAAACCCCAAATGCTGCATCTCCACGTCTGATATCAAAGCACTCTTCAGATCTCCAACTCCATTCAGCTTTGTGGACTGCAACACACGTCTTTCTCTTGGGCTGGTTCCACTCCCTGTGAGCAGCTTTCTCCGGCAGCTTGTATTCTACAACTCTGACATCTCCAACATCTTGGGGTCTCCAAAGCAATCTAGGAATCACTTCAAAACTTCATGCAGGGACACTCTCTCTGGGCCTCCACACAGGGACCCCCCTGAAACACTCCCAGCCTCAGGGCCTTTCCTTAGTCATGGAGGGAGGTTCCATAACCTCTTTCTTGTATCCTTGATGCTAAAGCCAGAACCACGTGGCTGAAGCTGCCAGGCTCTGCTGCTCGCTGGGGCAGGAACATGGCCCCCTTGTTCAATTACGTCTTCATTAGCTTGCTTTTTTCACCTCTGACTTCCTTCATTATTTATGCCTGGCTGTCCTGGAACTGGTTCTGTAGACCATGCTGGCCTCAAATTCAGAGCTTCATCAGTCTCTGCCTTCCTAGCGCTAAGACTAAAGACGCACTCCACCACACCTGGCCCTAAGCTTTTCTTTAATTTCCTTTCCACAAGTTGGAAACTTAACAAGGTGGGATCTTGCCCTGAGGACACTGCTGTCTTTATTCTATTTAGCACCAGCTTTTCTTTCACCTTTCTGTCTCCTTGAACAAGGATCTTAGTTCCATTCTACTTCCTGGCGCCCCTTTCCTACTCAGACTGTATGTTTTGTACTCTCCTTGCTCAGCTAGCTCCTTCTCAATATATGTCTTCATAAGACTGAACACTAATAACTACACAACGGCATCAATACTTGGCTGTTTCGAGATCTCCTCTGCCAATGGAATTAATCCAGAACTCTTCTATTTATTTAGCCTCAAGCAAACTTTTCAGGTAAGGGAAAAAAGCAGCCATTTTCTTTGCTACAATGTCACAAGAACAGTCTCTAGGTCACATACTAACTTTCATCTCCTCCGAAACCTCTTGAGCCGGGCCCCAGAGTTCAAATCACCCTCAGCACCACTGATTTCACGTTCCCACTAGGATGGACCATTAACCCCACCATGTCATTCCTGCTTTTCTAGTCCAAAGTCCCAAGGTCCACATTTCTTCAAACAAAAGCATGGTCAGGGCCCTACTCTTGGTACCAAGTTCTGTCTTAGTTAAGATTTCATTGCTGTGAAGAGACACCATGACCAAAGCAGCTCTTACAAAGGAAAACATTTAATTGGGGCTGGCTTACAGTTTCAGAGGTCATGGTGGAAAAAAAACCCAAACAAACATGGCAGCATGCAGGCAGACATGGTGCTAGAGAAGGAGCTGGGAGCTCTACATCTTGAACTGTAGGCAGTAAAAGGAGACTGTCCCACTGGGTGTGGCTTGAGCATATGAGATTTCAAAGCCCACCTCCATAGTGACACACTTCCTCCAACTAGACCACCCACTCCAACAAGGCCACACCTCCTCATAGTGTCACTCTCTATGGGCCAAGCATTCAAACACATGAGTCTGTAGGGGCCATTCCTATTTAAACCACCACAAACAGTAAGGGCTGCTGAGGAGGGGAGACCTCTCTCATCTGTGGTGCTGCCTTTGAGCTATCCAGAGAGCACCAGGGTTCCTGCCTTCGTAAACCCTCACTCATGCTGGGGCCAGTGTAGTATGATTTGTTTTATGTACCTGGACCTTTAAAGGTCTCCGATGACTAGTCAACTGACTCTTGGGGAATGCTTAGCCATTAGAACTGCTTGACTCTGTGACCTTTAGTG